GAGAACACCTGGGAGTTACACAGCCCAGGCTTGAAGGAGCTCACACTGTGCAGTGCAGTAGTCACTAATGGTAAAACAGATGCACGTCAGGCAAGGTGCTATTCCAGGGGAATACCAGGGAGCAAAAGGGAAGAAGCATGGCGATACAGACCTCAGCAAGGAGCCAAAGCCTCGGGACACTGTACTGGGACAGCAGAGGGACTATGCAGGTGCTGAAAGCTAAGAGGTTAGCAGGGTGAGCCAAGTTACTGTCCTGGAGGAACTCAGAAGACAATCTCTCAGTAGCCTGAGAAGTCCTCAAATAAGCTGAGGCTTGTTCCCTGAGGGTGAGGCACAGCATGTGACCCTGACCTGGGCCTTGTCTTGGGAGACTCTGGGGCAGCTGGTTGCACACCTCTGGAACGGCTGGTGCCCAGGTGACATCCTGGAGAACAGCTCCACTATGCCTTGTGTTGTGTGTTTGAGAGGAAAGTAACCAGAACCTTCCCTGAACCTTAGGGAGACTGCTTCATCTCAAAGCACCCCCCCTTTTTTTTTCTTCTTTTAGAAACAGGGACTCACTATGTAGCTTTGACTGGCCTGGAGTTCACTATTAGATGGGCTAGCCTCAAACTTAGAGATCTTCCTTACTGTCTCCTGAGTATAGGAAACAAAGTTGTGTGCCACCATGCCTGGTCACAGCCTATTTCTTCTCTAAAAGTGGAGCTGCTGTCTCTTTTTGCTCAGGGCTTTTGAGGACTGGTATTAAAGCCAAACTTTGGGGTAGGCCAGTTGCTATTCATAGCACTTTACAAATATCCATTAACTCAGCTCTCCCAATAGTCCTACAAGACAAGAGCTAGGACCCTTTCTTACAGAAGAGAGATCTGCGGCACAGAGAAGTTAGGCACATTGACCATCCATAGCCACACAACTGTGCCCAGAGTACTTCTGAAAACTAAGCCGCCCTAACTTTGGAAGAGGAGAACTCCTGACTCCTGGGTCAGGACTGGCTGGCACCCCAAGGTGAAGTCTGAAGAGCCCTGGTGTAGTCAGAGTCCTATTCCCAGGAGCAAGGGCAGCAACTCCTACAGCCAAGGATGGTGCTGACAGACGGGACGCTGCATTGAGGGGGTGGAGTTGTGCAACCGCTATGGGGTCATCCTCTCAGGTCTGATGAGGGGAAGAGGTGGTTTTATGATGCCCAGCCCTGCCCAGTCTCCCACTCGGAAGCCCAGATGCTGCTGGTATATTCTAGAACCCTTTTGTGAGGGCTCAAGCTGCAGGGAAGGAGCACTAAACTGAGGGAAGTCACAGCAGGTCCCTGACTGGGATCCACTCATCTGCATATGGCAGCAGGATGTGGGAGACCAAGGCAGGCAGAGCTGAAGCCTGCCTCACCGGCTCCAGGCTTCTGGACCCCCACAACCTCTTTCACTGCTGGGAGTACCCCCCTTTTGCAGTCAGCAAACACAGCCCCCACTCCACTAGTCCAAGGTCAGGTTGGTTACTGGATAGGCACCTGATGCCAATTCAACACAATCCCCTGGTGAATATAGACCTGGGCTCAAATCCTGCCATAAGCTTCGAAGCCTTAGGCCACAACTGCTGTCACCAAGACCCTTCCCTGGAGAGAAGTAGGGAATAAAAAGAACCTTCTTCCCAAGGTCTGAGCTAACCTACAGACCTGACTTCTGCAGGGCTCTAGGACTGGAAAACAGTCCTCTTTGCTCTCCAGCTCTGCCAATTACTGCCTTCAATGACTCCCCACCCCCCAAGCCCTACATTCTCTAGAGCAGCTCCCAAAGGAAACTCGGCTATCTCCCTACACTCTCCATAAGAGCTAACAGTCTCTTACCTCATTCTATGTAGTAGACCTTGGCCTAGGCCCTTTTCTGGCTTTAGTTCATCCTACATAGTATTCTCCCTATTTTACAGCTAAATAAACTGAGACCCAAAGCAGCTAAGTGCATTTCTAACCCAGGGGACTCCAGAGTTGGTGCTGTCCACATGGCACTCTGCCATCTTTTTTGACCTCAGGCTATAGCAGACCTTTGCCCAGGAAGATGACATACCTTCCAAAGCCAAGGCCAGTGGCTAGGGCCTGTGCTGGCCTCTGGCTCTGGCCCAGTTATGTGGCAATCAGTTTCATGTTTAGGGAATGTCAGAAGCTGGGAGGGGCAAGGTTACTTTTTTGTGTGCTGACTTGGGGATGAAACCCTTGCATATGGCAGCCATGAGCATCATCCTTTGCCCAGTGTTTGAGCCCCCCATGCAGGCCACTTATTCAAAGCACAGAACTCAATCCTGGAAAGCCAGAGAAGAGGAAACCTGGAGAACTTTCACTTCAATCCCGTCTGCACAGATGGGTAAATTGAGGTCAACAGCAGCCTTCCCGGAGTCCTGTCAGGATTAGCCTTGATCCTTGGTCCTTTGCTCCTAGCAGAGGCCATGCTGAGTGCTTCCAGTGCCGGGGAGTGTGTGTGTGCTAAGGAGAGGTGGAATTCAAGTGGAATGTGGGTCCAATCTGGAGAAGTCTTGGCTGCTCTCACTATTGACCCTAAGTCTCCAGATGGGCATTCTGTGTTCATCCTAAGCCAGCCTAACCCTGGCAGGGTGCACATGTGCTTGTAGACTACACACACAACAGCTACTGCTGAGCGATTGTTTTTTCCAGCTTCCACTCCACCCTGCAAACCTGGAGGTCAGAAGCAAGGCTGTAAGGTCACGTCAATAAAGAACAAGTCAGGAGTTCTTAGGACGTTGGGGGTGGGGAGGCATGTACACTGTGGAAATAGGATGGCCATTCTCTAGCTCTGGACCTGAAGAGGCTGCATCCCCTGGTTTTTTCAAGAGGAACCCCAAATCAGCATCAGAATGTGAAATCTTCCAAAAAATTTTGAGCACCAATAACAAATGCAGACATGTGGAATGCACTGATCAGCAAAATGGGGCTCTAAGCTGCATTTCCCAAATGCTAAGACATCAGGCTGTAGGTTCACCAGTGCTGGTGTGGCCAGGACGAGACAGCTCCAGACTTCTGAGGCTGAGCCTGGATGTGCAGTCTCACAGCACATGAAGACATATGCCACTGTCTTCTAAGCCACCCAGCCACCAACCAATCAGACTGTGTTCTCTGCTATGTGTCAGTCCAAGCCAGAACAAAAAGGGATGTAGAGGTAGAAAACAGCTGCCAAGCCATCCTAGAGTGAGGCTCTGGGTATGGAGATGAACCAGGTGTAGTGGGGGTATCCAAGATGTAAATCAGGGCAGGATGCAGAGAGCTGGGCTACCAAGCTACTTTATTAGGGCTACTCAATGGGGAGCCACTGCAGGTTAGAGAGGAAAGAAAGTCCTCCTACCAGTCCCCTCCTGGCCTTTAATGGTTCTCTCTGGTCTCTCCAGGGTCTGCTTCCATTTCCTTGCCTGTGGGGTGTGTGAAAAAGCCCTGGGCTCCAACCCACTGCACAGAATACTTCCAAGATGGTTAAGACAAACCCAGATGCTTCTGACAGCCTGGCTCCAATCTTTATCCACCATGCTGGCTGCAGAGTACGTGGTTCACTGTCATTCTCTCTGGGAAATGCCACAGGCTTGATCAAGGTCACCCAGTCTTCAGGACAACTGGCTTCCGCTCGTCCTCTGCTGGGGGTGACTGCCTTGACTGTCCTTGAGTTTGTAGGAGGATCTGCAGGAGTGCTGACCCAGGCTACATCCTCACTCATGGGGCAGAGCCAGCAGCAGGGTGGAGTCCAGGCTGTGGTGATGGGAAGGCATCAGCTGCTCAAGACACCTGATATAGGGGATCAGGTGTCTCATGGATGGGGCTAAGAGCTGGGCAACTGGTCCTGACAGCATGGTCTGGGCAAACAGAGCAGCTCAGGCTCTGAGACCAGGTAAAACAGGAAGAGATGAGGGAAAGCCCCTCGATGCCAGGGCTGGAACTTCAGACACAGAAGCAGTTTCAATGAATGAATAAACGAACAAAGGAACTTCTAGAGGGCTCTGTTCCCAGGGTCCTGCTTCCCCAGCCTGTCTACTCATCTAGTACCTGACGTTGCACCAGTGCCTGCCTGTGGAAGGCTGAGAATTCCTTCCTGCCCTTTCTTGGAGTCTCCCATTCAGGATTCCAAAGTATACCACCCCCAGGGTCTTTCAGCTTCCCCTGGATCTTGGGGGTTTAGGATTTTGCTGAGGGCCTTTTGATTGTAGATGCTTTGAAAAGCCTGGACTCACTCCTTCATTGCAGAGGACACAGTGTCCCAGTCCTGAACTTGGCCCTAGGTGTTCCCGGGGTCAGAAGGCAAGGGACTCGGGTCTGCTGTCCTTGGGACTTAGAGGGACAGAAAGGTGCTCCGACCTGAAATGGCTTCTTCACTTAGGGTACCTCCCCTTCCCAAAAACTAGCTGCCTGTTCTTCAGGGGACATAAAGAGGAACCTGGGTAAAGAACACCACTGTGATCTGAGTTGGGATATGGGAGTCAGAGAAAAGAGATTTCCACTCATTCTCTCAAACACGCCCCTTCCCTGCCCTCTCAGACAAAGGCACACACCCAAAGCCCCAGCTGTCACCCAGAGCTGCAGAATACAGGCACCTCTCACCTGTGGGCGCCCCAAATTTTCTTTCGGGGGGGGTCGCTTAATAACTCAGCCTGGTCTTTGGGGGAGGGACATCTATAGCTCTTTATTCTTCAAGGACCTGGGGTCTAACGCTCCAGGCTCGCTTTATGGGGGAAGACTCTCCATCATCCTCTTCCCCCTCTCCTGGGGCACAGCAACTACTCTCTCCCGGGGTCCGGAGCTGTGCCCAAATCTCAGGGTAGTGGAGAGGAGGAGTGGGGAAAGGAGAGGAGGAGGGGGCGGCTCCTCCAAGCGAGACACAAAGAGACGTCCTTCAGCCTCGGCTCCATGGCGACGCTGAGGAGGGGGAGCGCGCACTCAGTACTTCCTTCCCCACCTGCAGGGCTCTGGGGACCTCAGTGGCCACTCACCTGCGGCCCCTCACCTGGGTCCCGCTTACCTGGGCTGGGGCCGCGGGGACGCCGCGGCAGGGGGTCTGGGCGCCGTGTCGGTCTTCGTCAGCCTGGCCCGAGAGGGGCTCAGGGCACCACCACCACCATGAGCCGGGACGCGGAGAGCGTCGCAAAGGGCTCGGTCGCCCGGGTCCCGGGGCTTTAGGGTGCCCGCGGCTTCTCGTTGGCAAGAGGATCTCGCTGTCCTAGGTTTGGGGGTCCCCGTGTGCCTGAGCAGCAGGGAGGGCTACCACCTCGAAGCTGGGTCGCTCTGTGTCTGGAGGTGTGCGATTGTAGCAAGGAGATCTTAGGGGGCCCGGGTTGGAGCGGTCGCCGCGCGCCGGGTCCCGGTAACCGCGTGCGGGGCTGGAGGTCACCGCTCAGCCGCTGGGGGGCTCGGGCGCCGCTGCTGCAAGCAGCCCGGCCCTACGGGCCCCTGCCCCGGTCTGGCGCGAGCTGAGGCTGCGGCTCCTGCTTGGGCTCCCGCTCCGCCCGGTGCTCGGGCTCCAGCGCCGGCGCCCGCCCGGGCTGCGCTCCATCGCGGCCTCGCGGCTCCGCCTCCCGCCGGCGCGTACCTGCCCGCCCGCCCGCCGCTCCGCCTTCCGTCTCGCGCGCCGCCGCACGCGCCTTTGTCCGCCGCGCCGGGTGCGCGCCCCGCGCACGCGCACTCCCGCCGCGCCCTCCCGCCCGGCGCCGCGGGCCGGGTCCTCTCCCACCCCCACCCCCCGCCGCGGGAGCCACGCGATGCCCTCCCGCTTTCCGGCTGCGCCGGGTCTTAGCGCCCGCCCTAAGCTGCCACAAGCTCCTTTTCTAGGTCAGAGCCCACGAGGGGGCGAGAACGAGGTTAGAAAGGGCTCCGGGGAGTCGCAGAGGGTCACCTGGTCCAGCTGCTTGGTCCCCGAGGGACTACACTGTCCCAGACTATTCCAGCCTGTGCTTGTGGGGAGGAGCCTGGATCTGTTTCAAAGAAGGAAAATAAACCCGAGTCCTCCTATTCAGAATGCACGCACTCATTCAACCACCCGTCCATCTGTTTCCCTGCCTGTCTACCCATTCATTCTTCCACCTATTCATGCGATTTCCACGAGACGAGACCTCAGAAAACTAGCAGAGACCTGGGGTCTGCGGGTTCGTGTATGGTTCAGGGCGAGTTTGCAAGCCCTGCCTGCTGTAAGGATGTGCGGTGAGGAGTTAAGGAATAGCGGAGATGAAAGGTGTATAAGCAGAACGGAAGAAAGGGGGTTCCTGGTCGAGGCAGCAGCTGTGCAAAACCACCCAGGTCCTAAAAGCTTTGTTCGTTAACCGGAAATTGGTATCCTAGATGCAGGTAGGGCAGACAAGCATAGATGGCAACAGAGTGGGAACAACGTGTCCTTCCGGAGGCCCAGTCTCTCTTCTGTGCCTCATCCCCTCAGCATGCTATTTTCTTCATGGAAAAAGCCCCCACACTCAGAACCGCCCCCCCCTTAACCTCTGATCAGATTCTTTTCTAAAACCAGCATCCTCTTCCCAACTGCTCTGACTGCTTCTGGAACTTTAAGAACCGGGTATTGCAAACTTAAGTAAATCTTAGGAGGTGGCTTATTAAGTAAAGTGCTTGCCAGGCAAGCATGAGGACTTGAGTTCGGTCTTCACCGCCCGCATAAAAAGCCCGGATCATGACACCTGTAATTCCAGCACTTGGGAGGCAGGCCGGATCTCCAGAGCAAGCAGACTAGCAAGACTAGCCCAATAGGTGAGCTCTGGGTTCAAGTACGAAACCAGGCATCAATATATAAAGTGGAGAGCAACTAAAAGAAATAAATACTGCAGTCAATCTCTGTCTCCACATGCACACAAGTGCAAACACACACATGCATGCACACTATACATACACATAGCCACAAAAAATAAATAAGCTGGGGAGTGATTGAAAATTACACCTGGTAATGTCAGCTTCCAGCCTCTACACACACACACACACACACACACACACACACACACACACACACACCCCTAGGTTGCATAAATTGCTTACAGGAACTGCAGATGGGTCTCAGCAGCAGAGCATTTGCCTGGCATATAGAAAGCCCTTACTGGATCCCCAGAACTGGAAGGAAAAAAAAGATTGATGCACAGACTTTTACTTGGCAACCTACACTATTGATATTACTATGTTTAATTCCTAGCCCACCTTCCTTTAACCTTTACCTAATTTTTTTCTGGAAGCCAAGTCCTTTGTGGCCACCAGCTCTGTTGAATGCAATTTTGATTGGGTTGCAACCTTAATGGACTTGCCAGGCACTTCCTGTACCCCCCCCCCAGGGTAAAGCCTACCTTCCTTACCCTGTGTGGTGGTTTGAATGAAAAAGGCCCCCATAGGCTCCTAGCAGGTGGCACTATTAGGAGAATTGTGTCCCTGGAGAGCTTTGAGGTTTCAAAAGCCCAAGTCAGGCCCAGTGTCACTCTCTCTTCCTGCTGCCAGTGGATTCAGATATAGAATTCGCAACCTCTTCAGCAGCATGTCTGCCTGCTTGCCACCACACACACTTCCTACCACGATGACAATGGACTAAACCTCTGAACCATAAGCCATCCCCAATTAAATGTTTTCCATTATAAGAGTTGCCGTGATCATGGTGTCTCTTCACAGCAATAGAAACCCTAAGACAACCCATGTTCAAGACTGCCAGCATCTGGTGCCTGCTTGCCACACCATCCCTGGGAACCTCTCTTCTCCACTCAGCCTTGGCCTCAGTAAGTTTTTCTGGAACATCTACTTTCTTCCTTTTCCATATCTTTGTATATTTGGTTCCTCCAGTCTACAATACCATTCCCCTCGTCTTCTGTTTTCTGCACAAATATCCTTGAAAACAATCCTGCAGCTCTCTGTTCCCTTCCATTTTATCCTACCAATATCAGGACTTTCAAGTCAACCCTCTCATTGTTCTAATGAATACTCACCAGGTATTAGGTATTAGTGCTCCAAACAAGCAAATTGGGGTTATCTGTGAGTGATTGTGTAAGAGCAGGAGAATGCAGGAGAAAGGGTGGCTTCCTGTGTCTTATAACTTAGTCTCCAGACACTAGAATTTAAGAGAGTACTTTCTCATCCAAGGAAAGACGCCTTGGCATGTTCTTGGCCATGGTTATTGCTATAGCATGGCTCTTAAAAGTCCTCCAAAGGCTTATACCAAAAGCTTTTCTCTTGGGCTGGAGAAATAGTTCAACAGTTAAGAGTATTGCCTACTCTTCCAGAGGACCTGGGTTCGATTCCCAGCACCAGATGGCAGTTTACAACTGTGTTCAGTTCCAGGGGATCTAATGTCTTTTGGCCTTCTCAAGCCAGACACACATGCAGGTAACACACTCATAAGTAAAGTAAAATAAAATAAAATAAAATTTAAAATGTCTTTTTTTTTAAACAGCAAGAGAAGCCAGGCGTTGGTGGCTCACACCTTTAACCCTACCACTCAGGAGGCAGAAGCAGGCAGAACTCTGAGTTTGAGGCCAGCCTGGTGTACAGAGGAAGTTCCAGGACAGCCTGACTCAAAAACAACAAAACAAAATAAAACGAAAACCAACAATGACAAAAAACTAGAAAGAGAAACTTGGTCCTAAAAAGCTTAGGGCTATTGAATGGCGACAGGAACCTTTAAAGGGTGGGGCCTAGTAGGAAGTTTTAGGTAATTTGAGGACATGCTCTCAAAAAGAATTGTGGAACACGCTTCTCTTTTTGTTCCTGGCCACATTGTAAACAGAATTCCTCTGCCACGTGGTCTCACACTGGCCCCAAATCAACAGGGCCAAACAGTGAAAGCCCCTAAAACTTTGGGTCAAAACATTCTTTATAATTCTATTATCACAGGTGTTTTGTTATAGTGGCAGACATCTGACTAACAGTTGGCAAGAGTTACCCAGTTCAAGGCTTCCTCCTGCAAAAAAAAAAAAAAAACGTTCTTGATTCCTTAACTGGGACCTTGATTGGCCACATTGCATTTAGTAAAGGTTTGCCAAAATGCATTGTGGGTAATCCCTTCCCAGTTGCCCTCTCAGCAATGCAGTTGGGAAGTCCTTATGCCCATAGGCAAAGTACTCTCGCAGGAAACACTGTCCTTAAATATAAGTGAAACTGTAGTCTCCATATGTTTGGGCGTCATCAGGGAAGATGAGGAGTTACAGCTCTGGGAGAAGAGGGCAGGGCTGTTTTCACAAATCAGGAACAAGAAAAAATCGTGCAGAATCTGGGTATCCGTTGCTTATGAAAGCCAAGCATTTGAACTTGTTAGAACTGGGGATTGGGTCATGCCACTAGGTAACCCGTCACAGCCAGCCAAATCCTACTGATGTCAATTCAGTGTGTGTGTGTGTGTGTGTGTGTGTGTGTGTGTGTGTGTGAGAGAGAGAGAGAGAGAGAGAGAGAGAGAGAGAGACTGCTATGGCTCCCAGCTGCCTGCAGCAAGGTGGAAGGAACACAGCTTGTTTCCCTCACTTCCCTCTTCAAAGTTTTCACATAAGAGGAGGCTCACAGGATCCAACGTAATTATTGTTCTTAGAAAGGGGTGGGATAGGGTGAGGGATGGGGGAACTGAACTTCTGCCACTGAGACTAGAATCAACCAGCAGCAGCAGCAGCAGCTGTGAAACTGACCTTGGTTCACATAGGAGCCTCCCATTGCTTCCTGTGGCTGATCCCCAGCCAGGGAACTAGGGTGCAGCCATCCCTTGGGGACACAAGGGCTTCTTTAATGGGTCCAGGGCTTCCCGTTGGCTTTATGGAGACATTCTAGGCTCTTGCTACCCATCATTGCCCTCCCCACTTTCCCCTTCAATTGCTATCTTTCTTGCAATCTGACACCTGTCTAAGCCACCCCCCCCACCCCCACCCCACACCCCCGGCTGCTACCTCCCTCCGAAGCATTTTCTGCAGTAAATTGCCTGTATGGCTGACCCCACTGTGGCCTGTGTCTCAGAGGACGGAACCAGCTCCAACGATCTGACCCGAGGAACAAGGCAGCTGACTACAGTGCTACAGTCTTTTGTCCTTGATGCCTAGAAATGGGCCAATCAAAGCCATGCCCACAGCAGTGCTGCCCTTCTACAGGGCCTTCATGGGTGCAATTTGAATAGTAGAACATGGAGAATACAGGAAAACAGATCTCCATGCAGATTCTCTCTGTCTAAACGCACAGCTCTCTTCAGTAAAGAAGTCTGTTTTGTTTTGTTTGCAGCACAGCCTTCTCATGTAGCTCAGGCTGGTCTTAAACCCAGGGTCTTCCTGTTCCCACCTCCCAAGTGCTGAAATATAGCACCACATTGGTAGGGACGGCATGCTCCTAAGCACCTAAGGACTGCTTCCTGCATGAGGAAATACGTGAGTCTAGAACCCCAGACCCAGGGACTTCTGATTCCTAAGCATATTCCCTGTGGCTGAGTCAATTTTCAACTTCTTGGGGTATGTGGGAGAGGAGATTCGGGGAGGAATCACACTCTAGAACCTGTACATCACGATATTCACAGTAGAGACTGGGTAACACTACTAAGCTGAAGAAGGTGACCTTGGAAGCCCTTTTACTTGGTATATCAGTTATCTCTATGCTGAGGGGTGGGGTGGTAGACAGCTGGACCTCTCTGGCTCCTT